TTAAAAGACTTTTGAAAAAAATGAAGTGGCTCATGCCTCTCTCCCCCAGCCTGCCAATTTCAACGTACTTTCAAACACATACTCAGGAAAGAAGCTGCAAAAATTGTCTCTAGACTGTTGCAACCAGAAGACGTTATTCTTAAATGTGTTCTTTGCCCAAATTCTGATCTGTTCTCTATATACTATGGTATGGCAACAGGTACAGCTCACAATTAGATACAACCAGCATTAACTAGGTTTATGTTAATCACTAAACACACACTATGGGCACCATAGATGTATTTTTCTTAAAAAACAAACAAACAAACAAAAAAAAACACACAACAACAACCACCCTCAAACTACCCACACCTAGCACCCATCGTCCAGTTAAATACATCCTCGTATATTTATGCTGTGATGAATAAGATGCTTTACACTGGCAATATATACAACTGATATGTAGTCATTCAATGAATGCGATTTCCATCGTATTAAAAGGAAAGCATTAAAGTTATTGATCTGGATCAGTAACTGATCTGGAGACTGGATCAATTCCTCGGAAAGAGGATTTTAAGCAAATGTTTTCCCCTTGGTTTAAGTTCCATCTGGTTTACTGTGCAATTGTACCACAACATAGCAAGAGAACAATTCCTCTTACAACTAAAGGGGTACACATTGCTTTTCCCTGTTTCTCTGCCAGAGGACAAATTTCATCTGACGTTTTTGTATTGCTATGTGAAGTTAAAGCACTGTTAGTTTTTAAAAAAGTTTTAGAAAATGAGTCTTCAAATTCCTAGAAAAAGGACTTACTAGACAAAAGTTCCTTTTCCTCACCTGACAAATTCTAGCATTAACTCAGACTAGATCTATTGCTGAAAAACTACCATTTGTTTTTACAAAACTGAAGCCAGGTATAGTATACCTAGAGGCTGACATTATCACATCCAAAAATAGTTTATTTCTTTCCTTCTCTAAGCAGTTCCACACTTTTCTTTATCCTACATATTCTTACATATTCATGTGTTACTTTTCCAATTTTACTATGTTTTCTGAGGTAGGGCAACGAGAATCATCTGCTTCCAGATGCAGATGCAACATTGCTTCATACAGCAGCATGATAAGGTTTTCAGGTTTTTCTATTCTCTTTCAGACATTTTATTTGCCTTTTTGAACACTATTCGCCTGGTGTTTTCAGTAATTCAAAGACCTATATGAGTCCTAGTGGCCAATCAAGGAGCCATCATCAAGTAGGTATTAGTTAGGATTTTTCTTTACACACAATACTTTGTTTCACGCCAACCTTAGTATGTAATTTTACTTCCCATTTACTTAGTATCATGAGATTCTTCTGCAACATGCTGCAGTCAAAGAGACAGAACAGTTAAGAGTTTTCATTTTGACAAATTGTCTCTTGGTCCCCCTTCTCTCAATCACTTACTTATAAATATGATGTACCCCATTAAAAGCCTCCCTCCATTGGAGGGAGACTATTTTTATCTCTTCATCACGAATTCCAAAGAGCTATTAATTCACGAGAGTACCTTTAATCCTATCCTACAATAACAAGAGTTCTCAGGAAATGACATTGTCAAAAATGCAATGACAATGGGACATACATTGATCACATCATCCTCATCCACATACTCTGACTTCTACAATTTCTAAGATGTGAGTTTTCCCTAAGGCTGACATTATCACATCCAAAAATAGTTTATTTCTTTCCTTCTCTAAGCAGTTCCACACTTTTCTTTATCCTACATATTCTTACATATTCATGTGTTACTTTTCCAATTTTACTATGTTTTCTGAGGTTGCTACCCTTTACTCCTCTGTAAGTAAAGCCAACTTAACCAACAGGTTACACACGGCATTTGGTGCAAAAATCCAAAATATGAAACTGGGAGAAAATGTTATCTAGTCTGAACTTTCTTGCTGATCATTTTAATTTGTTTTAAATTCTAACATTATGACCTGAGGCTGCTACTCTTTCAAAAAAAAAAAAATACAGAAGAAAAAAAAAAAATGAATCCTTTCTTCCTCTGCTACCCAGTTATGATCTTGTAGTCCAACTTTTTTAAAAATACTCTTACCCATATATACACCTTTCAAGTCCTCTAATTACCTGAATGATTCCATGATTTCTGCTTCTTTAAAATAAATAGTTCTTACCTCTAAGCATTTGATCCTCAAAGGCTTTGTTGAGCAACCCTACTACCAGTTTAGATATAATACATCATTTAACGACCTTACATTTGGTCAGATCTTTCAATTTTTGAAGAGTTTCCCCCTCCCCCCCTTTTACTTCCATTACCTATTTTACTGTGTAACTTTTTAGGATCCTCAAAAAGCGCGTTTTTATTTTTATTTTTTAATCTACATACATTTACTCTGAGCCTAACAATGTCTTTACACAGTTTTTAGTTCACCTTTTTAGCTTTCTTTCTGTGTCCTTAATTACCTTTCCTTAAGTTAAATCAAGAATGAACCATGTGAACAATCAGTATTAGACACCTCCAAAATAAGATACTTTTTGAACCAGGTTCTATGCATTACTCAAGACTAGATCGAAAGCTGCTTCTTTTCTTATGAATTCTGACTAGCTGCTCAAAAAACATACTTCTGGTGGCTAGTACCTGCACCATAGCATTAAGCAGACCCAGATCAGGCAACTGACGCTATTTTCAAGTGTGCATCTTTGCAGCTTCATCTCTTAGCATAATGACTAGAGCACTATTTAGGCGATCAAAAGTATTACCTCTATACTATTCTACTTCTATTCAGACCTCACACCTCCTAAAAAACACAAAAGATAATTTCAATACTTAACTTGTCTCTTCAATGTTTTCTATAACACCTCTAACATTATTTCATCAGAAATGTCTAACTTGCACTAATATTTTAGTATCTTGGTGATTAACTTCCTTTTATCAGCTTTAAAGATGCTTACATTAAAATTCCCAGATCAGTTAACCCATCCTAACTTTATCTCAACTATGGTTGACAATGTACTGTAACTGATTATAGTCTGACTACCTTTGTGTGTGGCTCAACTGTTACTTGACATGCTCTTTGCTGTTTCTTTCCTCAACTTGGATGTCTGTCCTATCTAATACGCTAGAGAGAGCCATCAAATTGAATTGTAAGCATCTCCACACTCACCAGTTTTCTTCAATTCTTATTTTAAAACTCCCTTTGTAATTCTTTTAAGTTTTCTTGAAAGCAAAAAAGGAACTTAGATGCTGTAAGTAGCCTAATGTACAGGCGGCATCTATTCTAAAAGGTACATATCTGGAACTAGAGAAACATCTCCTATCACCATTTTATTACCCACACACTGAAATCCTGTCTCTGCCCAGCCCTGTGCATCACATTCCTCCCAAGGATATGTGTAGTCTCTTCCCCAGCAGTCTAAACTTCAGCTCCAGAGCTGAAGCCATCTGAACCACAGCCCCTGGGGTTGCGCCAACACTATGAGATTGTCTGAACTCTGGTAAATTACACCATGCATGAACCCAGGAGACAAATCAGTATACGGTCCTCAACAATACTGCAAATACAACACTCTGCCCAATAATCATATGCAGCTGCATTTCAGATTGCCTCTTCTATAGCTTCAACAATCCTCAGCTCCTTCCCCACAATCTAGCCGTATACCAGCGACAAAGATGTGTGGCCTCAGGAAATAAAGTACATACCTGAAAGAACAAAATCATACAACACTTGTTTTGCCTTTTACCCATGCTTCCTAACTTTTTTTCAGTAGGTTATCAACGTCCTAAGGTTATCCAACTGAATAGAGCCTTGTAAATAATCTAGGAACTGTCCACGCAAGAGGCCAGTTAGAAACGTTAATCCAAATGAAACATCCAGCTCACTTCTCAAGCGCCACAGCAGCCTACGGTAACAACTGGACAAGCTTACTAACAAAGCTCAACTGTCTTGTCAGTGTCGAAATCATGGAGGTCACACAACTTTGCACTCTTTCATCAGAGCAAGTTAATTCTGAATGAAATTCAGAAGCCACAGATATCTGCAGAGGTAATAATCAACAAATAATTTCAATTTAAATATTCTCCATTTCAGAGCCAAGTATTTTGCTAATGATTTTCAAACTCTTCTCTCAGCTCTTAAAGCTCAAATATTAAGATTTATACTGTCTACAACTACACTGTACACAGAAATAAAATGGAAATCAGTATCACAGTGATATTTAATAAGTATTTCTATGATAAATGATATTTTTCATATAACTCCATATTCAGGCTATACAGATTACCAATTTGAAGAATATATTGTTTTGTTTTTCAGATTAAAAACATCCATCATTTCTGATTTACAAAACAGTAAGGAAGACTTCTTGCATAAATTTAAAGAACTATACACCATGATTTAGTGCGTGTTTATGCAGTCATTACAGAGAGTTATAATAACATTTATTGATGTTCAGCAAGAAGCTGTTTTACATATTAAGAAGTTCACTAAGAAGTGAAGATTGAAGGTAAAACACACAAGCATCCACTATAAATCTAATTGCACACAGCTGTGTATTGTTCTCAGATATTAACTAAGTGTTATAAATCAGAAGAATGGAGCACTGTTTCATAATTCGGTGGGATGGCTATGGCAAACATGCTAGCAGGAGCGGTGACACGAATAGCGGTACATACAATAGCAAGTCAACTGACAGCACCTTGTGATTGCGACAAGCAGCAATGAAGGCAAAGAAGCATCAATGGGGTAATTTTTTCTAACTGCACCCAAGGCATTACACTCTTATTTTATTGTTCAGTCAAGTGCCCTGTGTTTAATTTCTCATAGCATTACCATTCTTTCCCATGCATAGTGCAAAAGGGTCCTTCAAGAAGGAAATCTGGGAACCTTCCCGGCACAAACTCTTTCATTCGATAGAAGAAATCAGGAACATTTGTTTTAAAAACACATATTCAAATAGGTCTTAATGATATTTCCTTCATAAAAAAAATTCAGTGCCAGAATATGGATGCCATCATTTCAAATCCCCCCCTCCCTTTAGCAGTTTGCAAGAAACAGCTTTTAAGTAAAACGAAGTCTACAGACCCATGCAAAGGTTTACAAATCCACTGCTCTAATAAAACTGATGTGGTTCTTGCAATGTATTTAGTTTTATTTATGGCATCTTTCTGAAATTCAGAGCACAGAGAAATGACCTTCTCTCCCAAGGAAAAATTCTAGAATTTTCTGAATATATTTGATTGAACATCAATACCATATCAAAGTTAGGGATGTCACAATACCTTCACACAACTCAAAATTAAAGGTGGCACAGTAAAGTAAGATGGAAAATTGATTTCCTATAACATAATTTACCTTTGAAGTTCATTCAAAAGTACATGTCAGATGCTTAAGTTGACATGAATCTAAAATAGATTTGTTATTACTGAAAGATATATCAATGAAACTTACCTTTTAGAATAAAAAGGCTCAAAGAGTAACAGAAGGCAGCTGACAGGCTGCCTTGTCAGAAAGTCACTGCAGAAATGAGTTCTTCACTTTTGAGTTTACAAATAAATAAATAAATAAAATTTTAAAAAGCATGACACTACCTCCTTCTCCTCAAATACTGCAGTAACATAATAGAACTGCAAGATTAAAGTTTCTCTAATAGGAAATCAGTAGAGTCACCTAAAATAGCCCACTGGCACAAAACGGTTTGAGAAAAATATTAGTACCGCATTTCATCCATTAACACCACTATCACCTTTAATCATAATAGCTTGAAACTGGGCAGAAGCCTTTCAAGACATTCCAGCAAGCTAGAAGAGCTTTAACAATTTCGAGAGATACATTAAATTGCCTTATTACAACATCCAGATGCAATACCTTGCAGTGCAGTGTGCTGTAACATTTAAAAAAAAAAAAAAAAAAAGAAGGAGGGGGAAAAAAAAAAAAAAAAAAAAAAAAAAAAAAAAAAAAAAAAAAAAAAAAAAAAAAAAAAGCTGTCTGCATGAGTTCATGCAAAAACTTGAGTCAATGAGGATGGGAGTGAGAAAAGAGCTTGGAAACTTACCCAGAGCAAAGTACTCAAGCCCTAAAGATAAGTGAAAATGAAGGGGTGAGGGGAAAGGAATAAGACATGGGAGAGAGATATTAATCTATTTTTAAAAAGAAGTGAACCATTTAGCCTCTAAAAGTGAAAGTTGGGTAAATGTAGGTAGTTAAGCAAATACTAATCTATTTTATACCAAAGATTAACAGCTGCTAGGATTCAGTCTCACATTTGCCGTAGTACTCCGAACAAGTTTCCAACATGTGCTGTTTTGCAGAAATAGCAATCAGAAGAATTTTTTTCTGCATAAACAAACCACCAGGTGTTTGTAGCAAGGATTATATTTTATTGCTCATAAAGGAACAACATAAACCTAAACTATTCTGAAGAAACACCAATGCCCTCACAAGCTAACCCATCAAATACATACACCAAATTAGCCTCAATGGAAAGTGATATTCTAGACTCTTGACAGAGTCTTGCCGCATTTTTTTAACCCACTTTTAACACAGACATTTTTAAGTCAAGTAGAATGGATTTTCTATTTATCCCATGAACATTTAGTTGATCAGACATACAGCTTGCTCCACTGAACTACCTTTGCCTAGCTTACTGCCTTTGCTATACTAATAAACATCAGCTTGAATAGTAAGCAATCAGTATATTACAATGTATTCTACAGCACTACATTCACTAACCTTTAGAAGAAGCTGCAAAAGAGGCTAGGAAAAGTCAACCTTCAGAAGAGCAGCAAGATTAACACTCAAGTTTAAATTTTTCCAAACTTCCAATATACAACTCCAATGTCAACTACAGTTTGCATCAATTAGAACCCTTTTTTCAAAGTTTTTAATTTTGAAAACTTTCATAATGAACTAGTGCAAGAATATTCTGTTGCCCTTTCTGCTTTCATCATTTTTGTAACATCTACCATCAGATATGGCAGAGGAGAAAAAAAAAAAAAGTTACTCAACTTATGTTGACATCTGAAGTCTCATCTGCTTCCTATAATGACTAACAGCTTGCCTCTGTACAATAGTCAGGAGAGCGCAAAAAGAGGTTGCTCTGACTTTAATTAGAAGGTAAATTAGGATATATACTGACTTTTGAATAGAAAATTCGTGTTACACATGGTCAGAAAAAACACAGCTTGGCCTTCATGGCACACCTAAATTTGACTAAATGCCATTTCATGTTAAAGCTGAATTATTTTGCACAGTTTTCACAAATAACTATTACATTGTTCTGCATAAACATTTCAGTCCTTCCACTGTATTTCCATCACAGATAATGCTTAGATTCTCTCTATCTTGCCCAAACAGTAGAATTTCCTCTACTGCAGATGTAACAAATTATTCAGTGCCACTCTTGCACTTTTCTGAAGGAAAGACATAAAACTCATTTATTTGCTACACTCTGTTAACTAGACAGGTCAAAAAAACAAAAACAAAAAAAACCACCACACCCTGAACTGAGAAGATGGAAGAAGGTAACTATATCCCTATGGAACAAACTGATGTTCTACCATTGCCCTCCTTGAAATAGGTAGGAATTTTTCTTTTTGAGGCTGATTAAGGTTCTAAAGTTTACTGACAGAGTTTTCCCAGGAGATAAAAATCAATTCAGCTAGCCATTGAAGGACATTAGCTTGCATGGCTACAAATATCTTCCTGAAAGAGTTTGTGAAATCTAGGAGGAGCATCTAGTTCAGCATATTAAAAAAAATAATAATAAAAGAAGTAATTCACAACACTTTGTATCTTCCAAGATGCACTATCAGTTCCTTTTATCATTTGAAATGACTTCTGTTAAGCTATGTAACTAAGAGTGTGATACAGTAAAAGCATTCTGAAGCCAAGTCACTCGCAAAAGACTAACTCAACCATCCTTCTGATTACCAGTAGGTAATTCTTTAGGTAATAAGAAAAAGCTTTAGGACTTAAAGCACTTTAAGAGATTTTGATGGTACTCACAAATTCTGGAAGAGCAAACAAAGCACAGGGTAATATTCAGAAGATTTATTAAAAATACAGAAAGTGTTTTTAAATTGGCCAAAGGGGGTCTGTAATAAATAATTTTGGCCTTTATAAAGTCTAGGGAGCACATTCAAGCTTTCTCAGAACAAAAGAACAGTTCAAAAGGAGTGGTAGGATGTTGCAATGTTTTCAACATACACGTAGTAGAAGCAGGAAGAATTTTTCATGTAGAAGATGAACACAGTAATTAAAACAAACATGCTGTATCTTTGCAGAAAGGTGATACTCCAACATACACACCAATAAAATTGTTACAAAATTTATCATATAAGAATTGTCTTTATGTCAGTCATTACTGTCATACATGCTAAATATTAGTTGTTTCTCTCTCCACTTGTCCAAGTAGATTTCATAAATACTCCTAAAAATATTCAAGATCAATAAAAATATTGGAGAATACCAAGATCCGAACATCAAGATACAGCACTGTGTACTTGTTTTACAACTCAGAAGGTTTAGTTTCAGTTATATCTTTAACTAGCCTCTAATTTTTACTGTTCCTGGTCTGACAGGCACAATAATTTTGCAATATGAGTACTGCCATTTTGATAGGTCTGTTCAAGAAATTGTGGAGCACCTTCTATTACATTGCAATAAGTATACACTAGCTATTTTTTAACCACACACAGGATATTACGTTTCAAGCTCACTAAGTGCTTCAGCCTATAGGGATGTGATGAACATACAAGTAAAAAGATACAGCATCTAATGGGAGCACTGAAAACAACACAGAAGTTTGGCTTTTCACAATGGAATCACGCTTCAGAATATACAGACTAGCTGAGACTAGTTCATTAGCATAGCAAGAAAGACTTTAATCCTGAGAATTAAGCTGTAGAGATAGAGACAAGAGCACTTTAAAGGAAGCTTACTGTATGTTTTCATTGAGGAATAAAGTATGCAACCAAATACATACACACAGTTTTCCATACTTTGCTTTAACTTTACTCTGTAAAAACAGAGCAGTAGCTACCATTCCTTAAGTTACTTATCCAGTCTTTTACACATTTCTGCTTTGAAGGTTTGTTTCCACAAATATTTTCTATTTAATCAGGAATTAAATCTAAGAAAATCTGTTTTGTATCAGCTCTTAGCATTGCAATTATGCCTCCCCACTATCACTTGTTCATACACTCATAAGCAAAAAAAAAAAAAACTCAACATATGTTGATTATAACCTTATTTTCCCTAAAAAGTACATATATCGCTGAATGTACATCCATACAACAAAACAGAGTTTAAGAGCTGTAAATAAAGAAAATAAAAAAAAACAGAAACCACAAACTTCTACCAGTTATTTAAATATTGCAAGTCCAAGCTTATTAACCTATTTTTAACTTTTCATCTTTGATAGAAAACTTACAAGACCTACAGAGCTAAACACATCTTTACATACAAGTCTAAAACTTACTTGCACAAAATAAGACAACTGACAATATCTAGCTTAACTCTTTGTGATGTATTTAAGTAACTCCACCTCAGAGATCCCTAACACTTCATTCACCACACTTAATGTAGTATGTATAGCAAGTATGCAACAGAGTTGTTTCTATGACCACAGAAGACACAAACACTTTATAGTCTATTTAAGCTGCCGTTCTAACAGCACAAGTCATTTTGTACTCTGAAGTCTAAGCAGTTTCACATGGATTAATACCATTTAATCAGCACACATTGTATTAGCGTAGCCTGACAGATTTAGTTATTCGATGACTTGATATAATCTATAGCAATTTTTACAAAAAAGAGAAAGAAAGCATGCACGTGCTTTAAGCTACTCCTAATCCATTTAATCAAACTCGGGCAACTCTTTCAAACAAGGTACAAGACTGAAGTCAGACCTACACCTCTCCTCCTTCTCCAAAGATCAAAGACAAGATAATTTATAGCTTCCTTTTATGTTCTGAAATACAGTAGACCATGTGATAGTTATTTTTGCAAAAACCTTGACCCGAGTTTCAAAAGTCTTCAAGGAAATAAAACATACCTGCTATAGGCACATATCCAACTCCTTGCTGGTACACAGTGGGCATCAAGACCACTGGCTGGGGCTGCATCATCATGGCAGCTGGCAAAGACTTGACACAAAAAAAAAAAAAAAAAGATGACAGATTAGAACTATTTTAGGAATAGAAAAAAAATTCTAACAGCAACTAAAATTAAAATAGTATTTGCAAAGAGTCACCACACTGCAAATCAGTGCTCCATGCTTGATGATATGACTATACTAAGCACTAATCTATAAAATAAAAGCCCAGGTAAATAAAGTAATTACCACTCTTTTAATTGACAATTCATTTGAATGTATCTCATTATAGTTACATCAGATCAGACTAGCCTTTTGCAACAGTTCATCGACAAAATTGGCTATTTACATTTGGCTATTTAGATTCTGCATTACTGAAATGAACTTAAAAGATGGCTATATGGGTTTTCATGCCTTGCTCTTGTGGAATAAGACATTCTTTATAAACATTTAAAAGTCTGAATTTTATTAAAAGCCATGTACTGCTTCTAGAAGCAAGATTAGTTCAAATTACTTTTTTCTTTTTTTTTTTACCCTCACAAATTATTTTTAACAGAAGTACCAATTTAACTCCATTCCCTTTCATACTACAATTTCTGTTCAGCTTCATCTTGGAAAATATTAATAGTAAAAGGGGATTTTCTGTGTGCGGTATATCCACTGGCAGATAGTTTTAAAGGTTAGCCCCAGGAGAAAGGGGCGTTGTGACTAAAGGAGCAACAATTCAGATGCGAGGAAGCATGTGAATTTCAAAAGCAGGGAAGAGCTATTCCAGCTTGTGCACTCAATAGCAACTTGAAACTTTTGTTCACATACAAGCACAGTAGAAAGCATTCAGGGCAGCATGTGCTATTCAGTAGCTACCTAAGACAAAGGTGACAGACTAGAGAAAAGTCCATGAGCTACTGAATGGATCAGCATAAGTCAGCAGTTCAACAGGAAGCAAGACCAGGAGCACCAACAGAACAAGGATGAAAATTAAAACAGAAGTGATCAGAAAAAGCATTCAAATTATTCAGAAAGATTTAAGATAGCAAAGAGTTTCCGTTCTTCTTGTTTTTAAATGAACGTGACATTCTAAAGAGTTAGGAAAAAAAGATTTCAACTACTGTTAGATTCTACAAAGCCTTTTTATTATTAGTCAAATGGCCCATCATAATTCCTAATTTAACGAGTTTTTTTCCTTCTACACTTCTGTCAGCACAGGAACGAGCTGAATTTTTCAGAATTACAAGCCACATAAAGAAATAGCTATCATTTATCACCTCACCGAGATAGATTTACTGGTTTAAGCATTAGTTCAATATAATTATTTTAAATGCTAACAAAAAAATAAGAAGTAGTTTAATCGTATCTTATAATGGTCCAAAATACCTCTCCCCACTATCCCAGAAGCTCTCCCTCCACTAATCTTGAGGTAAGAAATTCATTTGGCTTACCGTGTATGACATAACCAGATTAATCATTCCTTCTTTGTCATCACCTTGCCTTCCACTCAGACTATACCATTCATCCTCCACATTTCCTTGCTTCAGGGACTCTGGAATTGTAATGTGCGTCCAAGCAATGCGGTCATCCATTGAAAAGGCCCGCTGGAATGTATTTAAAATAAAATTTAGCAAGTTAATTGTCCTCAAAAAAATGACTCTTGACTAGAGTCTCCCTAAGTTTTATACTATTACATTTTTTCCAATTTTCAAATCATTCCTTTTGATAGAACTAAAGCATCAGAAAATGTTAAGCCATCTCTTTTCCACCAAGGATAAAGGGGTTTTTGCTTTAAGTGCGATTACAGATTGAATGCAGGTATTTAATAACAAGAAACTGAAATTCTCAAGCAGAACACTTCTAGAAATAAAACATACCAACACCAACATGGTCTGTGTGAACTTAATGACATCACATCAGAAGACGGTAACGCCGAACAGTCTGAACACTCCCTATTGCCTCACTACTGTTTATCTTTGCATGTTGTACGCAGGATGTCACTGCATATTATCATCACTTACTTCATGGCAGCCCTAACTAGTATGGTTTTGCAACTTTTTTCAAAGTTTCAACTTTGAAATAGCATATTCTGTGCTGTTAAAAACTTGAGAGGATTCCCAAAGATATAGCCCATCTTAGTCAATGCCATGAAGATAGCATTGTGCTAAACTAAATTCTGGCGCCTGTGCCAAAAGAAAGATAGCTGTCAGAGATGATCTTGAACACTTTCATTAAGTTGTAGTTTAAATGTTTCTAGCAGTTGAAAGCATAAGAGAGCAGGTTAATTAAATGATCCGGGAGTTGCTGCTAATTTTCCTTATTTTATTTTCTTAATATTTTCCTAAGTTTAAAAAAAAAATTATTAAAATATACCATTTCCTAGTACCAACAGAACCCTAACAAGATTTAGGCATGTCAGAAGGCAATGTTGTAGGCTGACTATATCAATACATGCCTCCTCAGGCAGTTTTGCCATGTCTACCTATCAGGTTTTACTTTTCCCAGTAATACTAGAATACAGGAACATAAGAGCACCTAAAGATTGAGGAAAGTAGATTATCTCCTATCTAGCCTGCAAAAGAAGCTTGACCAGTTATAGCAATTTTTCCTCAACTAGACAGCTACGCTGGAAAAAAAATATATATAAAAGCAAGCTAAATCTGAAAGAAATGATAAAGAACCAATGCAGAAAGGACATACCATCAGAAGAAAAGCTCCTAAACTGAGTTTACGTTGGAAGTATTAACCCATACATAAAGCCCAAAAGATAAGATATATCAAAGAACATCATGTTAACTGAAGTTTTTAAGGATGCACAACTTATTCTAAAGCAAAGTATACTTAATATGAAACGTCAAGAAATGCACTATTTCTATCCTATCAATTAATCTGTTTGGCTGCAGTTCAGATGTATTCTTAGACAGTTGCTGGCAAAAGCTGTAGCCTAAGGAATGACAGCAACTTTAGCAGATTTATGCAGGACTATCTTAGACAAGTTCAGGTACAACTTCAAGCATATACCCCAGCAAAGGTTACATAAAGCCTGATGAAGAACTTGGGATAATTCTTCCAGTATTTATCTATGTTAAACTCTGACTTTCTAGTCCTACCTAAGATGGAGTTTTTAAAAGCTCCATAGTTAGTGGACAGCAGTGGATTTTGCCTGATCTCTAAGAGTATTAGCTTACAATCAACTGTAGTTTTCAAAATACTTGGAGTAACTACCTCCAGCTATCCAGTCAACAAGCATTTAATGAGGTCCTATCTGCAAGGCAGATGCATCTAAACAGGCATATATCTGTAAAATGCAATCATTTAGGAGCAATCAACATACTACTAAATAAGAATTTATCCGTGTTTAAGCTACTGTGGTAGGTTGCAAACTCGAGTGACTCAAGAACAGATACAAGTACTGCTTTGCCATGCCTGCTGCAGCAATGGAATAGAACCTTCAACTGTATAAACTAAACCCACAAAATAGGATTCAAAAGCCTCACTTGTGTAACAACCACACAGCCACTGCAGTGTCAAATTTGAGTAGACATAGTAACAGAAGCAACAAAAAAGGCAAACCATGGACCTAAGCCTCAGCTGTCACCTCTTAGCTTAAATTATTCAAAAAGGTATGGTTGAGCTAAGTCAAAATCAATAGTCTGAACTGAAATAGCTGAGGTGCAGGTACCAGAATTCAAGATAGTGTTCTTCTAGGCAACCTATGTAGAGAAGGTCGCATACCAGAGGTGTTAGCCAGACCTGCTAGATCTCTGAGAAAATGAAATTGTTTACAAATTTGGAATTTATTGTCACTGCATCTTAAGTAAATCAGACATAAGTGCCTACATGCCTACCTGAAATGGAATTCAGGCAAACACGGACTAAGTTAGGATTCTACCATTACATCCTAGTGACTACAACATATTCTATACTTGACAGATTCTCAGCATTTCTGAGCTTGTATGAAGACTCTTCCCAGATCAGAGTAATACTGAAGAACTTCTGACCAAAGCAGGATTGTATTAACAAGCTATTTTTCATATAGGCAGTACAGAAGATAAGGTTGCAGGGCATCTTGATAGTGAAGAGGAGTTTAAACACTAAAGACACTTGTTTCTCTTCCTTCACAGGTGCAAAAGAGCAGCCCTGCTGAGGCTCAGTAGCCCTCATCCGCTACCAAGGGGAAGGGTACCAGTTCTGACATTCTTGGGGACAGAGTAAAGCCTCATGCGCTGCTGCTCTTGGGATTCTGAAAAATTTGCATCATCTCCCAGAGAGCACAGACAAGAAACAGCCTTTGGTAACTCAATCCTACCTTGCAAGATTCCACCTAAACCTCAGCCCAAATTGAGGATGAGAAAAAATATAGCCATTCTGACCTCATCAAATATCTCTAGATAAAAGGAATCCACACCCGGAGGAACAGTGCACTGAATAACTTTGTTCCAGCGAGGGTTCTTGGCTCCGTTATGTGCTGTGGGCGTTTCATACACAGCGTAGCCCAGCCGTATTCGACAATACGGATCCATGCGGGTCATTCCGTAGTTCTTTGCCAATTTTGCCTGAAAAGAAAGAAAAACCCTTAAATGTGTAACATTTACATTAACTTAATAAGTTAATTACTACATTAGTTTATGAAGAGAATTAGACATTGAGCAAAGGACTATGTTCAAATATGACATGGACAGAAAAAAATACCTCAAGAAAAATAGCACTGAGTATAAGAGAACAGTCAAGGACACCACTAAAGATTTGGGAAACTTTGAAAAGCGCTTCTCTTTTTAAAGTCTGCTGCAGAAAATATGCACCTCCATCATAACTCAAATAGGTTATTTCACAACAAATTGACAAATATATACATGATGACAACAAAATAGTAACGTAAATTCAATTTTTGCCTAGGTATCTCCTAATACATTATCATAAACTTAATGTAATAGGTAGCCTGTCCCATTCCACTGAAGTACTTTTAAAGGATGAAACAAAACCAGTAGCTTCAAGAGTACCATACAGCATTCACACCGCTAAAGCAGTTCAATTCAGATAAGATCTAGTAGTTTAACTTTTCAGAGATTTAAAATAACAACAAAAAAAGCCAACCAACACTGGCATTACTCAATTCAGTGTACCATTTGGTACTTCACGAAGCTACTTAAGTTCTACTCTACTATAAACACAGATACTGTATAGAATCAGTATGTTTACAGTAATGTACTTTTTTTAGCCACTGATGAAAAAAAGATTAAAGCTTGCATTACAAAGATAGTACAATTCGTACCTGTACAATGGTAATGCTGAGTCTGCCTACTGTACCCATTGGTCCTCCATACTGTAGCTGCTGAGCTGCCTGGGCATCCAGTTGGATTTGCTGTTGCTGCTGGGTTGGGGTGATGCGAAGAAAATCCTGAGGAAGCTCACCAACATATACCTAAAGAAATGAACAAACAAAACAAAACAAAATGAGAAAAAACCCAAACCTTCAAACTCAAATCTTCCACTTTCATAATGAAAAACAGAAGAATATAAATCAAAAACCTTAGCAAAAACATTCAGCAGAATTTTACTCCAGATTTCACAGCGTGAACAAAGAGCTAAGTTCAATGACAAAGAACTAAACGCAACGACAAAAATGCCAACTCACCTAAAAAGTTCTCTCACGCTCACTTTCAAAAATATGAAGTTCCAACATAAACCTCTGAAAAAATAGGACACACAGAGTCTAAGCTGCTCTGCAACTGAACATTTAGCTACTCAATACAAAAAAAAAAAAATCAGAACTACCAAGCTCTGATTTACAGCCCCTTCACAGCATCATCTGATGCCACCCATCTCTTTCTTTCACTTACCCATCACTCACATTGTCTTTGATCATTCCCATGACAAGACAACACGCTGTTCTCTACATCAAAGGGCACTGAAGTGAAGACTGATAAGTCTAATATGCTTTCATTTATCATTAAAGCAGGCTGTTGCTCAATGAAGTTTCCACTATTTTTCATGCATGTCTGTGCACGTTAGCGTAGAAGTTAGGACTTGTGTATTTTTAATACAAATGGTACAATGTAATCATTTGAAAACGTTATTTTCACAGTCTTCAAGAAAGATCATAAGAAGAGAGTCTCCTAGGAACCAAATCCTTCAATGGAACAGAAAAGTCCTAATACTTTTCCAGGTTAAACACTCTTTGCAACCACCTTGTCAATATTGGGATAGAATCCCATCATGCCCGAAACAATAATGGAGGAATCCCAAGTCTGGTCTACCACAAGAATGAACATGAAGGACAAACGTGAAGTAGAAAAATCTTAGAGGAATTCTGTCACATGTACATGTGTGAATGTATTTTTTTTGTTAGATTAAAGTGAAAGAAGGGAAAGTTTCTACCCTCTACTTATAAATTCTCAAGTAAATAACTGACAAGTTTTAAACGCTCACTGAACACAAACAACACCACACTTAACGGGATCTTCACATTAAAATAACAAATATACTATAACAATAAAAAGCAAATAAAATGGCACAGAAAATTTATAATTTAGCTGTACTCATTTCTGTTGTCTATAGAGATGCTTACCTATTTAACATTGAACCACCCACTCCATCAATACAAGGTTTACTCTTAAGACAAAAATAGTGCAATTTCTTATGTGGTTATCCCCAGGCAAGATTACTCAATAGCATGTCTGGCAAACACATGTCTACAGAACAACATACTTTAAGGCCCTGTCAAAAGGCCCCTAGGACATAGCTTTTGAAGATTATACAACACTTATATGCTAAGATTGCATCTTTGAGATATCAATAGTCATATGAAACGTGATTTAGCAAGAGCTGCAGCTTGTGTTTGAGAATCTCAGGGATCCTGGCAACAGTAGGTATTACAGACCAGAAAAGAAGTTTATCAATAGCCAAGGAAAGTGTAGTGATCACCTACTGCTAAGCTGCTGAGATGGAGGGAAAAGAGGAAACCATTTTTTACTTACAAACGCCTTAGAATCTTATAGTTAAAAAGCAAACATTACAGAAGGGAATAGCTTAAAGTCCCTTTTAAAGGTAAGAGTTTAACTGACAATATCCATTAAGTACATACTTGCCGGCAAAGCATTCGCTTCCATGTTTAAAGTAGAATATTGCCTTTAAACATCAGACTCCTTTTTGATGGAGCACCACTTCTCTCTGAAGGTATTCACTATGCATTAGAAATGCACTATCACAGTGCATTTGAAATACCTTTCAAAGGATAGATCATAGAACTGTAAACAATATTCTTTACAGACAATGTGCAGCTCAAGCATTTTCTTCTTACAACTAGGCAAATTCAACATTTGAATTCTTCATAAAAAACTTACTTCCCTAAGCAGAGAAGTCATTTAATAGTCTTTTATTTGTAAATTTACTTATAAGAAATTATATATTGGTTAATAACACTTTACGTACTAGTTGATTGTAACATTAAACTGATGAACTCCTAGCTGATAACTGAACTTTCATCAGTCTTTCCCGTCTATAATATGTTCATCTATAAATATTGATATACATTCATCAAGCATTTGCCTTATTGATCCTTCAGTCATGTCCAGTATGATAAAGCCAAGCAAATCTTGGTCTCGAGGATGTCAAGGGAAGTACTGTCATTAGAAACAGAGTGCAGCGAACACACGGTATAAGATGTCACGAGACCTCATCTGTAATACGGAGCAGAATTCTGATCATCTACTTTCAAGGGGAAAAAAAACAAGTCTAAATTCAATCTTCTGGTCTGAATCAGGCTCATAAACAATCCTTCTTGGATAACCAAAGAAATTGAGAACATTTTAAGAGATCAAGCCAGAAAAAGCATAAACCACTTTTTTCATACTAAAAAGACAGCAACAGCATACTTTTAGAGTATCTTAAAAATAAAAAAGTGGGAGAAAAGTGGAAGCAGAGATGGAAAAGACTAAACTAAGAGATAGATAAATTTAAATAAAATTTAATTTACATTATGTTGAAGTCATGCCTGGCAACAGCCATCTCTTTAGAATATATGGAAAAAAAGGATCTAGTTTAAAAAAAACAAAATAAACAAAAAAATCCCCCAAAACAATACGCACCCACACATAAAACATTTAGGAAAGATATGAAATTATACCAGAACTAGCAAGGCAATGTCACGTGCAATGCAGATGGTTCACTCAAATCCTTCACCTACAGGAAATTTTAAATCTGGTATTATTAGTGTCTCCAAGAGTCCACATCATGAAGATTTCCCATGGTAAGAAGTAGTGGCTGCAGCCTTAAAACTACATTTCCATATGCGCAAAGCTCTGGATGCCAGATTCTCAGAAAAAAGGATAGCATACTTTGTCTCAGCCATTTTACATGGACATTGGAAAGCTTCATTCATGACAGTCTTTGAAACATACCCAGAAAAAAAAAAAAAAATCAACTCCACTCTACCATTAACGATAGAATAATACAATCCATTTAGCATTTGAATTATAGTTGGAGTCACTTTTCAAGTAAGAGAGATATGAGAGCATTATAATAAAACTACAATTCTGAGGAGGAAGGCTAAGCAGACATTCATAAAGACAAGCCTGCTTTGTAATTACTTCTTAATAAGCTTTACTGACAGCACAGCATATGACAAACGTGAATCTTCTAGAAACAGAATAAAATTGCCCTTGCTGTCCACTAAAATTGTCTAACAGCTAGTTTTAAAGATCTTCAAAGTGAAATGCTGCAGCTGCAAAGTCCACATCCAAACTTTTCTTCAAACTGAGGGTGGCATTTTACAGCCACATAAGCTATTTCAGGACTAACCTGTCTCATTCTCACCCTCCTATTTCTTCTCACTCCCTTTTCCTGGGCAAAATAAAATGGTGCAAATGCAATTGTCAAGGAAGCTAAGTGCAGCTGGCTGATCAGAAGAAAGTGAACCATGGGTTGGGGTGGAGGAGAATAGGAGGGGAGGTAATTAGGCCCCTTACCTCATTCACTAACTGATAAACTGAGTACGGGTAACTACAGAAGGGAGGACAAGGGAACGCAGGGCTAAGGATAATCACAGTTGCGCTAACTTATGGAACCATATGTTGAGACATGATACATTCAGGGTACTATAACTAAGGCTTCCACGCTGGCAAGTAGTATCAGAAAGTCTGGTATTAGTTCCATGTTAAAGAGCTATAAAACATCTAGCGGCTCAAAATGTTCTATGTATTCTCCTACAAACAGTTTTACTCTTTTTAAGAAAGAAGAAATGAGTGACTGGGAGAGAATTTTGAACTGCAGTTCTAGGCTGCGCATGCTAAAGAAAGAATTGGGACCAGACAGGACACATCTAAAGGTGTTGAAAGAACTAGCTGATGTTATTGCATCATCTTTGCTATCATAGTTATTGCTGTCATCTTTGAAAGGCTGTGGAGACCTGAGGAAGCCCCCTGTAACTGGAGAAAGGCATGTGATACACTCAAAAAAGGCAAGGATGAACTGAGGAACAAGAGGCCTGCCAACTTCACTTTGGTCACTCGGAAATTCATGGAGCAAGTCCTCTTGGAAGCCATTTCTAGGCACATGAAGAAGGCAGGGACTACGAATAGCCAATGTGGATTTAGCAAGGGTAAAAAAGCATGGCCAACGTAACAGTTTTCTTCAGCAAAACAAATAGATCTGTGGATGAAGGGAAAATGGTACATCTGTTTACCTTGATTTTCACAAAGCTTTCAAAAAGGTCACCCCCCCCCCCCCCCCCCCCCCATCCTCGTATCAAAGCTAGGTCATTACAATCCAAATGGGTGGACCACTGGATGGATGAAAAATTGGCTGGATCACTGAGCTCAAAAGTTGAAGTTCAGTGGTTAATAGCACATATTCTACTTGGAGGCTGGTTAAAAGCAAAGTTTATCAGAGATCCATGCTGGGATCTAACTTGTATGTCTAATATCTTTCCTTATCAGTGACCTGGAGGATGAAACAGAATGCAGCCTCATCATTTTTGCATATGACACCAAACTTGGGGGGAATGGGTTGGTATATTTGAGGACAGGACCAACACTCAGAGAGACAGAGGAACACACTGGCAGAAATCTCATGAAATACAACAAGTCCTGTACTTAGGACAGAATAATCCTTTCCCCTAGTACAGGCTGGAGAATGACTGACAGGGTAGCAGCTCTGAAGAAAAGGACCCACGAGTCCTGGTGAAGAGCAAACTTTGCATGAACGAGCAGTGCAGTCCAGCAACAACGAAGGCTAACCTACTGTGCCGCAGCAACAAAAGCTTAGCCAGTACATTGAGAGAAGCAATTCTTCCCCTTTACTCAGGGCTCATTCGAGCACACCTGGAATACTGCATCCAGTTTTGGACCCACCAGTCAAAGAAAGGTGATAAACTTGAGCAAACCCAGCAAAGGGCCACCAAAACAGCCCACAAAAGTAGCTGAAGCACAGGACCTATGAGGAGAGGCTGAAGATTTGTCTAGACTAAAGGAGCCTTAGAGAGCACCCTAATAGCAGCCTTCCAGCCTCTGTGAGGAGGTTATCAAGAAAATAGGGCCAGGTTCTCTTCCGAGATGCAGGAGGAAAATAGACAATTGTCATAAACTGAAACAGCAGAGATTCAAGTTGAAAAATCACCCACAGGGACAGTAAAGTATTGTAACAAATTGCCCAGGAGAGTTGCAGAATCTCTGTCTTCGGAGGTTTTGAAGACCCTACTGGACAAAACCCTGAGCAACCTGGTCTGTATTCAACTCTGACCATGCTTTGAGCAAGATGCTGGACTAGGCAGCCTCCTGAGGTCCCTTCTAACCTGAATTATTTTTTGATTCTATATAATTTATGTGGTAGTATGACATCTCCACTTTAGCTTCCACAGAACCGTAGTCACAGGCTCTACTTCAGCTTTTCAATTTAGAGATGAACAAAGGAAAGAATATAGCTGATTAAGTTGATTAAATTTACACACAATTTTTGTTTGTAAAATGACATCAAAATGAAAAACGTACTGGACTGAAAGATTCCAGACGTTTCTTCTCCCATTCTTATTATTCCTTCCTGTTGCCAGAAGTTCCCATCTACTTTGTTGCTTCATTTGATTCCACGTGTCTTCCCGTAAAGGCTTTGTGAATCTATAATCCTCATCTTGACACTATTTTCCCCTTCCCCCAAGTACTTGAACTATGTTTAGTTCTGACTGGATAGTTGACCACAAGCTATTTCCTCCAGATTTTCTCAGCACATCTAGATTTGTCCAGAATAGTAACATTCTCAGTCTCTCCAAAATACCAATGGATGCAATAGAAAATGATCCACTTAGAAGGTACCTTAAAATACTTTTCTGGATTTGTAAGAGAGCAAGAACTTTAAAGCGTTGTCAGTGCCATCCTGAACATTTTCTGTCAAAGGAGCGTGCCCCAGATCAAAGGACCACAGCCCTTAAGCATTAATTCACATTTTCCTTAGAATTATTTAGTGAAATCTTACTTGCTCAACTTTTTAAAGCAACTTTTGAAACCCAAATTGATTGCAGTGACGTCTTTATGACACTTTCGCCTCCATAAATTAGAATTTTAGTACTACATATACCTGCATTCTAATAAAACCAAAATAGCTAATAAAATACTCAATCGTATCCAGAATTATCAATGGCATTTCAGTGACAAGACTTTGCATTAGAAAATGCTCCTGAGACAGCATAACCTGCATTGACACTGGACAATTTAACAGCAATAGTTGCTTTGTCACCTTCGGTCAGGAGAGGAGAGGGGGGAAAAAAAAAAAAAAAGAGTACAAGACCTATGCAGTTAAATGACAGTATTAGGACAAGAACAGAGAACTAAACACATTGCCTGCCTATTAGAAGGTTTCCAATCATCAAAATAATGAATATTAGGAAAAACATTGGAGTAGAAATCTAATTAGTGCTAGGATGGCATTTGATCTAATTTTGGAGAACCTGACATATTTGCCAGCATAATGACTAATCAAGGGATCCATTTTGGGTATGCTTGGCTAACTAAGGAATCATAAATACACACAGTTTCAGTTCTCTCAGACTTAACTCTGCAGCCCAATTGGACTAGTTGGAAATCTCTCTCACTGCGAAAAGGTATCATTTAACAGCCATTACATAGTCAGCTATAGCTTTCAGCTTTCAAAAGCTGTTCAAAGATCACACAACAGGAAATCATGCTGATTCCCTACCTTCATGAAAATAGCTAGAGAAATTCTAGCAGAATATTTACCAACAGGCAGAAAGAATTCTAGTTCCTTTACAGCAAAAAGTGTTAAAAATTAACAGTAATAATAAGTGTTAATTAGTAACCAAAAAAAGCATAACTAGAAATCACAGGTATAAGAACAATATCAGCAAATGTATGGTAGTGTACTTTATTTTCTTATCTGCTAGAAACAACTAAGTATTTTCTTGCCTGTTCAAACAGAAAGAGACAGGAGTATCCTTCACTGCAGCGCTGAGAGAAATATTTTCTAGTCCTTTAGCACCATTTAGTGGCTATTCATTTGTAATGCAGCCTTATACAGAAACAAGTAGAACTGCATCTTCTGCTCCAGAGAAAAATCAGGAAAGGCAAGCATGTACTAAATGAGCGTTCTCAGTTTCAAATGGCAGCTTTTTAAATACTGCAGGATTTAGTCATTCATTTGAAGACATTCAGACCTCCAAAGTGGTGAAGAACAATGAGAAAAGCATGAACAATAATGTTAGAACATAAGAGAGAAAAACTACGTGGACCTTTCAAATTGGCAGGCCTAAAGTCAATTCTAAGTAACAAGTATTTCCAAGAGATTATACAGGACTATCTGGGTACTTCTAAAATAGAATGACATCTAGAAGAATATTCTAAATGTAAGGAGATTGAGTTCCTTTAAACACTTGAGACAAACTATAGACAGATATATTTAAACAACTGCAAGTCTATAGCCAAGTCCAAAAGGTTCTCACTAAACTCTTAACCCAACAGGAGGATTTCACCAAACTAAAGCAAGCAAAGATTAGAAGTGCTCTACTGAATATGAACAAGGTACGAAGCACAATAGGCAAGTAGAACTTTTTTCAATAAGAAATATCACTCCTGTAGGGACAGAAATATCTGTACAATTTCATCTCTCTGCAAATCAGGGAGACTACTGTTCCAGCTTTAACCACTTAAGTTGTTAACACCTCCTTCAACCCTCACCTCCACATCAATTCCCTTCAGCCTCCCCATCCTTTTCCAAACACAGACTAAGGGATAACTAGAAGTGAGGTTACTTTTAAACAAAGTCGCATTATTTTGTCAAGTATTTATATTATTTTGCCTTTTTGAACAAACCTGTTACATATTGACAGAATTGTGCTGGGTTCAATCACACAGTCAACTCAACCACCAAGCCTCTGCGGGTAGCAACTACCTAATCCACCACAGATTCAGTCAGAACAACAACCTGCATTCTGCCATGCTTTTATCCAGAAACAGCAGAAAGCTTAATTCACCCATTTTACCTTAACTCTCCATTTAAAACTTTTATTCTGGCAACAGAGCTATCATCAGAATGTGCTGAAAAGGCATCTATTCTTGAAGAGCAGACAAATAAGGCATTTTAATGAATTATGTTAATAATCAAACACAGATCATCAAACATCAGACACAGATGCTGCTTTTCCAGAATAGCAATTTAGTAACTCGCTCCTGTTGGCCTTTCAGCAAGGCTGCATAGAAGATTAAAAAAAAAAAAAAAAAAAGCTTTCTAGGAAATAAAATACAACAGTTTATGTTAAAAAAAAAAATCTTACTTTACCAGCAAAGCAGCAACGTATTGCCTGTTACTACCAGATCCTCCCAGAGACAGGGAACATACAGAAATAGCACATCAATGGAGGATAGGTGTTATACTACAGGGTTATACTTCATATCCGCAGTAAAGCATCCTGGCATTGGGGACTATTATTCCAGGGCATAACTAGACTATAAGACTTCCCAATAAACCATCAACACAAACTCCCAGAGACTGCTAAACTGGTTTTAAAACTGTTCAGTCCCCTCTCCCCCCCCCAGCTGCATATTACCGTGGCATAAGTCTTTCAGCATTTTGTTTCACGTTCTAGCTTTCAGTTGTCAACGCCAAGACGGGGATTACAAAAACTGCCGTCTGAAACTGCGCAGCCCACCCATGGTACTACAAGGCTCTACTCCACTTTTAAGAGAAAGAGCTTTGCTTCAGTTTAGATCGTTCCCTTCCTTAGAAGGGCCACAGACAAAGAACAAGCAGAATAGCCTCTCCAAGCCCCGCATGCACAGACGGGGGACTCCCCCCTCCCTTCTTTCCCAAAGCCTTTTCGCAAGGCGGAGAGCTGAGAGAAGAGGCAGACTCCCCCCCCCCCCCCCACACCACCCCCCCAAAGTATAATGGCAGGCTGGAGATGGAGGTCTTTCCTCTCCTCTCCCCCGCACCCCCTTGCTATGGGCTGCGACTGGGGGAAGGGAAGGAGGCAAGAAGGGTGAGTCACCTTCCCACTGAGGCCCACTAGCAGGAGTCGTGTCGAGGACGGGGAGGACAGAGACTGAGGCCCAGGAGGGTCCAAGCCGGGCCTCGCCAGCCCAACCCAGGACACTCGTAAGGATAAGAGGATAAAATCTTCCCTAGGACCTAACAGCAACCTTCGAAGCCGCACTCACCGGGCCCCGCTGGGTAGTGACAGTGGTCGCCATAGCGCCTCCCTCGCACCGAGACCCTTCCTTTCGCCCCGCCAGGCCGCCGCCGCTGCTACCGTTACTGCTTCAACACCCGCCGCTAACCGTCACTC